CAGATCAAGTTGTCGAGAAGCCCTCGTTTGTGTCGCTGTAGGGAAATTTGCGTTTGATGCATGAGTTTCCACCGGATTTTTGATTAAAAAAATATTAGGCATATACATTGTTCGTATTTTTATTTAGTCATTAAATTATTTTTCTTCACTCCACAGTTCCAGTAAATTGGGTAGACCATTACAGAATAAACAATTCTTGGTTTGATTCACTAGATTTTTCAGTGAATATACATATATATATACATATATATATATATATATATATATATATATATATATATATATATATATATATAAAAAAAAATGGGTAAACAAGATGAATGGAGATAGATAGATAGATAGATAGATAGATAGATAGATAGATAGATAGATAGATCAGGCACCAAAAATTGATATTTGTATATTTCTCAATGTAAAATTGCTGTATTTATTCACCATCTTCAATGTACATAGAAAACTGACTCCATTAAAAAAAACATTATCAGTCTAAATTCCTGAAATGAGCTATTGTAACTATTTAAACTATTTAAATCGTTTGGACTGTTGTCCTCATCTTTATTGCCATATTCATGACGTTTCGACCTACTTCAGGTGATATATGTTGGAATTTCGAACCGAACCCTTTATTTAATCCACGTGGATATGTTGTTCGAATTCTAACAATTAATTTCATCGCATGATATTTATTTACCGATTTTACAGATATGAATGCCAGACATATTCAGTCGCGTGCTGGCTGGAGTGTCAACATATCCAATGGCAAGTGACCTCTGATGGAGTTGATCCCCTATATCATATAAAACTCCAATAAAGAAACAAACGTAGCCAACTGTTTTATTAGCAATTAAAAGGAATATGAACTTTATAATGCCATCTGCACACTATCAGTTACTCAAGTCCAATGTAAGAGGACATTTTCAAATCTGAATAGAAACAAGGTTAAGAAATTTGTTGTTTGAAGAGAGTTTGGTATCGTCCATGTTGCTACCCATTGAAAAGTTATTGTTAAATGAATTGGATACAGGAACGATTATTAGCAAATTTGAACAATCATCTAGTGAACAGAAATGTTTGCTTTTAATATAGTAGATGGCAATGTGTAAATTGTGCAGTATACTATTTAAAAATACCAACCAATTACTTAAAATTTTTTAAAAATAGAAAAAAATTGTTCATTATGCAAATTAAATGATAGCATTTGTAGTTGTGGCTTGATCTACTTTGTCTCTTGATAAGCAATATTTTTAAACCCGATTTGCCACTGTTTCTTTTACTTAGTTCTACATAGACTGATTAATATTCTTGTGATAGAAACTTGCTATCGTGCACAGAGAAGCAAATATTTACTTTTTGGGTGGAATCATCATAGCCTTTTAAATCACAAAGTTTGTAATTTTAAAATTGATGACCATTCACTTTGTGTGTGTGTGTGTGTGTGTGTGTGTGTGTGTGTGTGTGTGCGCGCGCGCGCCAATCTCACTCCTTAAAACTTATCATAGTCTTGGAATTTTTTTTTTTTTTACACAGATCTGTAGAAACTCTGTTATAAAGTCATCTGCACACTATCAGTTATTCAAGTCCAATGTCAGAAGACATTTTAAAACTGAAGATAATAGAAACAAGGTTAAGAAATTCACTATCTGAGGAGAATTTGGTATCATGCATGTTGCTATCCATTGAAAAGTTATTGTTAAATGAATTGGATGCAGGAGCGATTATTAGATTTGAACAATCAACAGAAATGAATTGCTTTTAATATAGTGGATGGCAATGTGTAAATTGTGCAGTATACTATTTAAAAATACCAACCAATTACTTAAAATTAAAAAAAAAAATTATTCATTATGCACATTAAATGATAGCATTTGTAGTTGTGGCTTTGACCCACTTTGTCTCTTGGTAACCAATATTTTTAAAGCCCAATTTACCACTTTTTCTTTTACTTAGTTCTACATAGACTGATTAATATTCTTGTGATAGAAACTTGCTGAACGGAAAAGCAAATATTTACTTTTTGGATGTGTTATATTCCGTGCTAAGGGAATAAATACTTAACACCAGGTGGATAATAGAAGAAAGGTTTATTGTACACAACAAGTACAATATGAAATACGGTACAGTTATACACACAGGTCAATCTAGTAGTGAGTGCCTCTAACTGGAAGGCCGGAAGTGCTTACGTCGTCTTACTCTCACTCTTCCTCTCTGTTTTCTCAAGTCTCTCATAGACACTTGACTTTATAGGTACTTATTACCTATAGTGTAATCACTCATGGGGGTGACTGGTTATTACATTACATCAGGATGGAATCATCATAGCTTTTTATTTCACTCACTATGTTTAGTGTCCAACAAATGAAAATATCCTTAGCTTTAATTTGTAGTGTTAGGATGAGTGTAGTTACTCCCCTTGATGTGAAGATGCTATTTGAACAATCATCTCGTGAACCCAATATATATAATATAGTGGCCTGCTTTATTATGCATTTGAACTATCTGTTAATGTTTAAATTGTACAGTAAACTATTTAAAATACCAACCAATTTATTCAAATTCTTAAGAAATATATAAAAACTTCTATTATGACATTTTGTATTTACATTCGGTATCTATTGCTAGCGATAAGTACAGGATATTTACATTGTAATTACTAAGAAATACACATTTTTTCCGACAAAAATGTTAATTGCTCTTCTTTTATTGTCCTCACACCTTGATAATGGTTTTCTTTTCTTGTTCTTTCACCCTCCTTAACCTCTTTTGTCTTAGTGACTTTACTGTCTTACTTGAGGTGAAATGAGTTAAAAAGAAAAAAAAAGTACCCTTTTGTTCATATGTATTTTTGAAAATGTCATTTATTCGTTATGAAAATTAAATGATAGCATCGTAGTTGTAGGTGGGTCTCCTTTGTCTTCTGGCAACCAATATTTTAGCCACTGGACATATTGTCATTCGCGGAAAGAACAAGAACATTCCTGGAGAAATAAGGGTCTGCTTATCAATGGCGTTCTGCTATCGACGCCAACGAATGGCATTGGTCACATAATAGTGAGAAAATACGTTAGGAAACAGAATGCCAACCTGAAGACCTTCTAGGTACAATGGGTAATTATGAAGACTGGAGAGTAGGAGTTATGAGGATCCGTGCAATCGGCCCACTCTGATGATGATGACGCCAGACACGTGGATGTCACTTCTGAAGATGATGAGTATCAACACCGAAATATTAAAAATTTCCAAATTGCAACTGGTGTTCCTTAATCAAGACGTATGTTATATTATCGCCTTGCAAGAAATGTGCCCTTGGCGAAAAAGAAGAAATTACAATTTTGGCACAAAGTCTAAAGAGAAGTGGAAGGGGGGGGCTGGTCGACACTGACTATTGTAAACCTAGTTAATTGATTCGCAAACCATTCATGCATTACAACTTATTCTATCACTGAATTTTGGGGTCATTAGATGGTTTCCTGTTTCCCCATTTATTTGCTCCTACAAACACACACACACACACATATAAATATATATATATATATATATATATATATATATATATATTCAAACCCAGACACAAAGCAAATTCTGCTTACGCTACCTGAACCACATGACACAAAACCAGTAGGTAGCCTAAAGAATTAGGCCCTAAAGTAATTGGGAAAGGCTGCCTGCCTTCTTTCCCCCATTTCCCATAATCCATCAGTGACATATATATATATATATATATATATATATATATATATATATATATATATATATATACCTCATGAAGTGTGCAGTGTCATATGATCTGACAATAATTGTGGATGCGTTGATTCCCATATTATACACTCTTTCTATCTCCACCTTTCTCCCCTCTCTATACATGCATATATATATATATATATATATATATATATATATACATACATACATATGTGTGTGTGTCTGTGTGTGTATAAAATATATATATACATATATGTATGTGTATAATATATATATATATATATATATATATATATATATATAAAATTTATTCAAGTTTCAATAAAAAGATATAGACAAGTTTTGTCTATTTATTTTATGTAAATACTTTTCATATCGTCTGATAAGCTTAATGAACATTATCATTAAAAGACGAAATAAAATCACCATATTGATGCATATTTTTTAATCCAATCTAAGCTTTTAGCTTACATAAGCCATTATCAAAGATGACAATTACATTACAATATATTAAACAATACACGGGCAAAACAATCCGTGAATCTATGCGTAATTTCCTCCAGTTGGCAGTTAGTCCGGGATAGTTATATCTTTTGGTTTATCATAGATGTCCTGTTTGTTGCTGTTAAGGGTGTTCAATATATATATATATATATATATATATATATATATATATATATAATCTTCAAAACTAACCAGGCTACAGTAGGTACTCTCGGCATTTAGCAAGTAAATGGCATAAGACCAAAATAATTGGGTATTTTGTGATACTCATTACACTTGCGAATCATTCTTTGCTAACAACTTCGCTATTTCTAGTCTGGCACAGGGCCATAGTTACGGGACATCCAGGAAAGGTTCGAAATCAGTACACACTCTAACGAGTTTCCTGACTATGGCGCTACTTTAGGCGCCCAGCCACAAGGGTAAATTTAACAGCATCACTTGGAATAACAAGGCTATAAAAAAAAAAAAAACTTTTTATTTGAGAATAAATACAAACAAACAGAAAATGACGCGAAAGTTCATCTTTCTCAATTTAGTTTTAAGCCGGGAATAAAATCTTCCATATGTGCATTTGCGTCAGGTAGGAGGTTCGTATATATTTACGTATACTGGTGACCTTACTTTGTATATAGGTCAGGGCACACATACGTGTATGATTCGATGTAGATATCAGTTTACCTTAGCCAAGTCTGGCACAAGCTCATAATAACAGAAACGAAGAAAAAAAAGCCATCACCCTCTACGAATGTTTCCAAGAAATAGGACGGAAGATAAAACTTTCCCAAAAAGAAACGACACCAGTTCCCGTACGATCACCGAAGTTAAGCAACGTTGAGCCTGGTCAGTACCTAGTTGGGCAAACGCTTGGGAATACCAGGTGCTGTAAGCTTGGATGTGCGGGTGGTGTAATGGATAATGGCTCGGAACTGTTAATCAGAGAGTCGAGTTCCCGTACGATCACCGAAGTTAAGCAACGTCGAGCCTGGTCAGTACCTAGTTGGGCAACCGCTTGGGAATACCAGGTGCTGTAAGCTTGGATGTGCGGATGGTGTAATGGATAATGGCTCGGAATTGCTAATCGCAGAGCCGAGCTCCAATTCCAGTTGGCTTCGTTATATTAACTTACGCCAAATACGCTTGGGAAATGTATGAATCCATCTTTTCTCCCCAAGCTATGGATTAATTCGTAAAACTTGTACCACTAATCTATTAGTATCTAAAAAATAAAATAAAATAAAATTGCGTACTAAATATTTATTTTTCAGCATAAAATAACCCATAGAGATTGATATGCCGCTAAAGAAAAACTATCAACCGACCAAAAAGAAATTATGATCTGGAATTGGAATAAAAGAATTAATCGCACATACTCTGAATCAATCGTAAACATTCAGGCTGTACAATTAGTAAATACTAAATACTTCAAATACCATGGTGTATGAATCAGTTACAAGAAATTTAGATAAAGAAATTGAAGATAGAATAGGCTAGTTGTAGTTTCGCATAATACAACAAATTGCTACAAAACGAAAAGATCAACCCGAAAAACTAATGTCATATTCTTAAATATTCTCGAAGACTTTCATATGGATGCATGGCGCTGAATTCGTTCAGAAATATCTAAACTGTTGACAGTATACCAACCGCTTTCTCGCCTCAATGGTTAAAAATGGCTTCGGGTGAGTGAAGCAAGTTTAAGCGAGAAACATCATTTTTCGAACCTTGTAGACTGGCGCTACATAATCACAAATAAAGAGCAGTACCAAATAAAATCACTTGAAAGCCCTCAAGTGATGTCGTTTCTGTTTCAGCAGCGACAACTAAAATGGGCAACAGCAATGGAAACCCTATTAAGGATTGAACTTACTACATTAGTCTGTGAGCCTCGCTCTGCAGCAAGGTTGGGTAGCACTTTTTGTTTAGCGGCATATCAACATCACTATGGGTCATTTAATGCCGAGATCTAACTATTTTGTACGCAATTTTATTTATTTTAGCGATAGAAGTCTTACTAAATGACTCATAGCTGTTGCAGGAGACAAGGCGGTTTCATGCCTTTCTCAAGGGTATTTGCACGAATGTGAATATAACGAACCCAACTGGAATTGGAACTCGGCTCTCTGATTAACAATTCCGAGCCATTATCCATTACGCTGGTTTTACATCCATTGGCCTTACATCCAAGATCACAGCATATATGGTATTCAACATCGGTGTTTCAATGCAATGCTGTTCTACAGTAAACATGTTGCATGTGAAGGAATATATGCGATTGATGATGGACACGCCCGTCGATTTCGACGTATGAGGATCCGATAACAACATTCAGTTTTTGTTTGCGCCCTATGTGACACTTCAGTCCTGCTAGTGACCTACATACAAGGACACGTGTTGTTTCTTGGAACATAGAATATTTTCTGACGCTTTTCACCATAGCTGTTTTTATTTTTTTATCCCTCGACCGTAGGATCGTAGGGACACCATGCGTACTGCAGACACAGTAGAAGTGTGTGTGTAGTCCAGTTGAACAGTACCGAAGCGGATAGCTCATTATTAGAACGAGTTTATATATCGACTGAAAGACGCACTTAGTAATAATGTCTTGCGAGTTGTGGGTTCAGAAAATAAAAAAATTCGTCCACCTGCCATGCTCTCTCTTTACAAGTCAGATCAGGCCAAAAATGGCGTATTACTGCCATGTCTTGGCGAGAGCTGCTCAATCCTCTCTTTTCACCTTTGACATATTTCAAAAGCGTTTACGTGTCCTTGTAGGTGATGAATCATTTCTCAATCACAATTCCTCTCCTAACAGACACAACGTCACAAACCTCTCGCTACTCCGTCGTTATTTCCAGGACAAACGTTATGACGATCTATATTCCCTAATTCCAATAGTCCAGAAATTTACAGGTAATACACGCCATGCCACGTACACGGGTTCGAATCATCCCATTCCGTTTGTATTCCCAAAAAGGAAGTTCCACTCAGCTTCTTCCTAAGAACCACTTCTTTGTTGAACAGACAACCGAGACGAGGCTTTAACTTCTAGAAGCGTAATCACTTAAGACTATGATCAATCGTTATCTATTTTAAATCTGCTCATAATCTACAATTCCTCCATTCTTAAAACGACTGCATTTTCTACTTTTATTGAGCCTTTTATTGGATGAAAATTTATGGCTGGGACAATTGCATATTTTCTACCAATGCCAGATTTGAGACCAAGTCAATAACAAAAGATCTTAAGGGTTCAAAACTGGCGCAACACGATATTTCGATATATTTAATCTGAATGTATATGATGCTAAACTACATACAATCAACATAGAACGTGTGGATTTGTTTTGCAATTTATCTACTTACATACCTTCACTATAAGATGGCAGGGGTTTAATTCAAAGTCACAATTAACATGGAGCCCCGTATCAGAATTTTTTCAGTTCCCTCAGTAAATCCATTTTTCTTTTTTTTTTTTCTTTTTTTTGAGACGTCCAAGACATAGAGAATTGGCCCTGACCTAACCCCTATAGGTGCAGTTAGGAAGGTACAAGTCTAAAAAATGGACCCCTACAGCTGGACTTTGGGGTTAATTTTCGCTCCCACCCATAAAAGGGACGGGCAAGTAAAAGGATTTGCGAACGTAATTATTTATTTTTTTTTGCCGACGTCTGTGTCTATTAATAGGTGCTTTTGCAGGCACAACTACCCATGCGCGCGCGTGGGTGTGTGTGTGCGTAATAAATTGGGATATCCCCTGAGGCGCCGAGAGTTAGAATTAAATTAAATCACACTTTAGGAATGTGCAGCTTCTAACCAAATTGCTTTCGTCTTCACCTGTGAGTCGGCTTGATTGCAAACGTCTGTGCTCCGATTTACCTGTGCAGATTTAAATTGACTCTAATCTAACCTTACGCATGCGCGTTCAAAAGACCTTTGAACACCCTCCTGTTAAAATACACATGTGCACAGCACGCATGCGCGCGTCCATAAATACGATACTCATAAGTAGGTCACCTACCGTAAAGTGATAACACGCAGTTTAATACCGCAAATAATTCTTACGGGTTCGATACTCTTTAGATTATTTATTTTTGGTGATCAAAGGAACATGTTGATACCAGTCTTTATAAGGAATGACTATTTATTATTCACAGAATTAATAATTGTGGCCTAAGACCGGTTGGGAAGTGGAGAGAGGCTGGTCTACATTAATTATTCTAAACCTAGATATTCAGATTCACGACCCATTCATTCATTGCAATTTACTAATTCACGGTGTAGTAATGGCTAGCGGATCGGATTAAGGAATCGGAGAGCCGAGTTCGAATTCCAGTCGAATCCATTACATTCACTTACATGCTAATACCCTTGGGAAAGGTATGAATCCTCTCCTCACCCAGCTATGGGTGAATAGCAGGACAGACCGTGTTCTGTGGCCTTGGATGGTAACTAGTCTACCGCAGAAAGAAATGGCAACCTATTGGTGGAAAAAAAATCTGCCTCGTCAGTCATGTATCGAAAGATATATGATCGCCTAAGCGTGTATCACGAATGGCACATAACTGACTGACTGAATTCACCACAAGAACTCAGCCATCACCATTCAATCTAACATATACGACAATACAACATATTCACAGGGATCTTACAAAAATTGTGACTGCAAAACAGGTTTGGTTTGGTTTGGTTTGGGGTTTTTTTTACGACATATCAAGCTCAATGAATTATTTAATGCCGACAATTTTTATTGCTGGTAATATTATTTTTTTTCCTAAAAATCTATCTCTAGTAATATTTTTTTCGTCAAAAATCTATTTCTAGTAATATTTTCTTTAAAAAAATGTATAGCTGGTAATATTTTTTTTTTCAAAAATGTATTGTTGATATTTTTTTTTTTTTTAAGTATTGCTGGTAATAATTTTTCCTTCAAAAAATTATTGCTGGTAATAATTTTTTATGAAGTATTTCTGGTATTAAAACATATTTTTACACTTGAATAGTATTTTGACCTCAGTGGTTAACTATTTGGGACCCTAGCTGGGACCCTAACAGGTGCTACTACCCCAGGTCATGATGGGCCTGGGAACACTAGCAATTAAGGTGGTTCCACGCTCCTCAAAACCTGATCAGTGGCCTTGATGTTGGATGTAGTCTATCGTCTTACCCGGGACGCGGATGTAGTTTATCGTTATACTTAGAACAGGACTGCAAAACACTTTCCCCACCCCGAATTTATAGGCAGAAGCACACAATTGCATGCTGGGATTTTTTCCCTAGGCAATAAAAATAAGGCTGGTTCTTGGTTTCACATGACTCAGTCCCGGTCAATCCTAATTCTTAGTTTTTTTTTTTAACTTTTTGCTATTTTACTGTTTCTTTAACTTATTACTGTTAATTTGACTTGCATATTGTAATGAAAACTCGGAGTCTAGTTTAGTTTAATGTGCCTTAATTGAACGTAACTGAAGAGTGTTGCCATTTTGGCGTAAGCAATCTTTGACTGGTTACCATGTCCTGCAATCCATTCACCCAAATTTGTTAAGTAGCTTACTCGCTGTTTCCCATATGTTTTTCTCGCCTTCAGTATGTCTGGTGAGTGTTAAATTCTCTAAGCCTTCTTTCCTCATTATATGTACCACAAATTTCATGTCTCTTTCTGATTGTAAGTATTCTCGAACCTATAGCAATAAGCACAGAAAATATCAAACGCGTGGATTTGCGAGCCTATTTACCAACCTACCCCAACCCCAGGATTATTTTCCTTGAGACATCCTCGTTTCTCACATGTCATGTCTATGTTATTCTTAGTATTCGTCAACAGAACCACTTCCCTGCCGCTTCGGCTCACTTCTTCTTCTTGCTTAGTAGTCATTTAGTATTCCAGCGATATAGATTAGATATTACGTAGCAGTTCATCAAACTTTTTTTTTTCTAGAGAGATTTTCAGAAGTCTTAATACTTTGCTTAGTTTCTGGAAAGCGTCTTTCGCTATTGTTATTCGTCGTATGTAACTGCACTACCCAGACGTATAAATTTGGTGTTGTAGATGAAAAGTGGGTTCACTACGATAACTCTAAGCGCCACAAATGATGGATGAATCAAGGATCCAAAGCGTAGAAAAATAATTTGTGGATCCAGGATCCAAAGCATAAAAAATCACGGATAGTGGTATAAATAATGGGTGGATCCAAGAAAGGAAGTGTTGAAATTCATGGTTGATCCAGCATCCCAAACATCGATCATTACGGGGGGATCCAGGACACGAAGCGTCTAAAATCATGCGTCGATCTGAGATCCCAAGGTCCGAAAAACCAGGACTGGATCCAGGATCCAAAGCGTCAAAAAATTATGGGTGAATCCAGGATCCTAAACGTTGATAATTATGGATGGATCCTGGATCCGAAGCGTAAAAATCATGGGTAGGTTCAGGATTTAACGTGTCAAAAATCATGGGTGGATCCAATATACAAAGCGGCGAAAATCCTGGGGAGATCCAGAATCCCAAACATCGATAATTATAAGTGGATGAAGGACACTAAGCGTCGAAAATCATCTGTTGATCCTGGATCCCAAGCGCCAAATATCAAGAGTGGAAGTCATAATGGGGGGGGGGTACGCGTAGGTGAATTTAACGAACTCAACTGGAATTCGGACACGACTCGCCGATTCGTCATCCCTGGTTATTATCCATTACACCACAAAACATGACACATTCGATACACGTCACAAAAACAAATTAATTTAATCATTATTTACACACACATATATAACTAGCTTATGGGCAGAATGAGATAGATAGATAGATAGATAGATAGATAGATAGATAGATAGATAGATAGATAGATATGAAAAGAGCAAGAGATAGATACAAAGATAGATAGAGAGAAAGTTATGAATAGATTAAGATAGATAGATAGATAGATATTCTTCCCTAGGTAAATCCTAGATTTCGAATGACTTAGAGAATTGGCGTAACATAATCTTATATACCTACATTTCACCACTACCTGCACAAAGCTAAATATAGCAGGAATCCATATATATATATATATATATATATATATATATGTATATGTGTGTGTGTGTGTGTGTGTGTGTGTGTGTGTGTGTGTTAGGCAGAACAGCTCCGCTGAAAGCATTCTCACAGACAATCATAGAAATCTTAACCCTAACAATATGCTCGACAGAAGAAAAAAAAATCCAGTGCGTTTCCCCAAAACGAACACACAGACAAAGATGCATGCTTTCAACTCCCACCGCCGACAGAGGATGGGAAAGCGATGGTCGTATTTTCAAACATGTCAACAAATTTTACCAAATGTCTAACACTGGCATTAAGCTAATTTTGACGCCAGCAGATGCATTTTAATAAACTGGCAAAACACACTGACGAGGATAAACGATGTTCCGCTACGAAAAAAGAAACATTTTAGCAGATAAAAGGCCTTTAAATCACGTTCGACTTTCTGTCTTATATATTAATCTCTACCTATATTTATTCACGCACACACTCAGATAGATAGATAGATAGATAGATAGATAGATATAGAAACTGTGCCAACATTGAAATCAGCGTTGCATGAGGATTGTCAGTTTCATGCCTTAAATGATCATGAGGCCTGATCCGATCTAATGAGAGGATCGCTTATCGCGTGAAACTGCCAGTCATCATGCAGTGCTGATTTCAATGTTCACGCATTCTCACAATGTACATAAGACGCACAGTGTAACACCGTGCATCTTAGTGGCTTTATTGCCTTTGTTTGGGTAAAATGATGAAATTATGGGGTGAAATTATTAATCACTTATATAGATAGATATATAGATAGATATATTAATAGACACGAAAAGACTATATATATATATATATATATATATATATATATTATTTGAAAGAAAATTATTCTTGATCAATTTTCCACCAGGAAATTAATTCGTCGACCTCATTGTCGAGGATTAAACTAAAATAAATACAATAAATACACATAATACGTTTAAATTATTTAATCAAAACTGCTTGAATGAAAATATGCTGCCTGAATATATATATATATATATATATATATATATATATATATATGTATGTATGTATGTGTGTGTGTGTGTGTGTGTGTGTGTGTGTGTATTATGATATATAGTTTGAAGCTACGCTATATTCATAAGGTAAAATGCTCTATATCTCGGATAGATCGTGTGTGAATATAAGAAGTATGAACACTGATGTCGCCACCGAATAGAAACAATGGGTTTCGTCCTTGCTCGCAATCTTCAAACTTGGAGATTACGTTTAAGCGTGAAACAGACTGTCGCCACTCGGTGTCGACATCTGTGTCCACACATCTAATATATATATATATATATATGTGTGTGTGTGTGTGTGTGTGTGTGTGTGTGTGTCGTTGAATGAAAAGATAACATTAACAGTGGAAATGGTGTGTTGAAGGATTGTTTTTTTTTTTTTCAAATAGGAAGAGACTCACTCAAATTCCAACCATGCTCAACACTCGAGGGCTCCGAATAAACGCTCCTACTAGTATTCAAAAAAATAAATAAATAAATAAATCTTAAACAGTCAAAACATGAAGATAAATTAACAACACCTAAAACAAAGACCCTTGAAAATGGCTAAAGAATTGTCCGGAAGCGCTTGGAACAATGGACATTTTTAGCACTCCCTTAAACCCAGAAAACGGGAAAATGTAAGGTCACTGGAAAAAAAAAATTAAAAATCAATTAAATTTTCCCTGTCTGTCATATTTAAGGAAAGACATTTAAAAGAAAGAACACACCATATATATATATATATATATATATATATATATATATATATATATATTAAATAAATATTATATATTTTAAATATGTGTGTGTGTGTGTGTGTGTGTAGCGCAGTTGAACAGTACCGAAGTGGATAGTTCATTATTAGAACGAGTTTATATATCGACAGAAAGACGCACTTAGTAATAATGTCTTGCGAGTTGTGGGTTCAGAAAATAAAAATTAGTTCACCTACCAAGAGTCCACCTACCAAAAGTCCATCTACCAAGGCTCAGATCAGGTCAAAAATGGCGTATGCTGCCATATCTTGGCGAGTTCTGCTCAATCCTCTCTTTTCACCTTTGACATATTTCAAAAGCGTTTACTTGTCCTTGTGGGTGATGAATCATTTCTCAATCACAATTCCTCTCTAACAGACGCAAAAATGCGTATTGCGTCACAAACCTCTCTACCTCCGTCGTTATTTCCAGGACAAACGTTATGATGATCTATATTCCCTAATTCGAATAGTCCAGACATTTACTGCTAAGATAATATATATATATATATATATATATATATATATATTATTATTATTATTATTATTATTATTATTATTATTTAATAATTTTATTATTATTTTTTTTATTACACGAGATTATGATAAAAACATTTTTGAAATCTCTACACAAAAGCTTTCATGTTTCAATACTATGATTGTACTTCTTCAGACGATAGTAAGTTTCTTACAATTGCCTGAAGAATTACGATCAAAGTTTTGAAACATGAAAGGTTTAGTGTAGCGATTTCAACAGCACTTTTTAAAAGTAAATGCTACGAATATTGAAATTCTACTCCATCTGTTTTTTTCTCTCATTTGAAGATCTATACATACATACATACATACATATATATATATATATATATATATATATATATATATATATATATATATATATTGGACAATAAAAATATTAAAATATTAAAATCTTCAGACACACTGGCTTGTATATTAATATTCTCCTGTTTTTATTATTATGTCATTTAGATTCCTCGACTAGTTTCGGCCAACATCGCCATCATCAGGAGAAAAAAAATTGCTTACTGTTAGCAGTGAACTACAGAAATGAATGTCTTGAAGAAAATAAACGTTTGTCTGTCGTTTTCATTTGTTTTTGTTTTTATTTTATATTTTTAACATGAATTTTGGTCAGTCCTTGTGTTGAAGATATATATATATATATATATATATATATATATATATATATATATATATATATATATATATATATTAAAAAGAGGGATGGATTTTTTATTAATACAACAGTTTTTCTTACTTAAACTTATTTTCATTCTTTCATGGTGGGTCATTTATTAACTCGGGAACGGTAATAATTTTTTGCCGATAGATGAACAGAAAACAACAACATAATCTCAAATCGAACAGAAGTAAAGACAAAATGATATATCAAAAGTAATCTTTCGTGAATTTTTTTTATCTAAACTGAAGCAGCCCTAAATCCGGCCACATGACTTGGCATGCTAAAGAAACATTCATCAATTGAAATACCTGTAAATGTGATTGCGTATCATTTAAGGTACATATGGAAGTTTGATGAGAGTTTCATAAACAAAACAATCTTGAATGGAACTAATATCGTGTAATTTGATATGACATGAAAAGAGAAATGTTTGCTTAAAATTCATAGCATTTTCGTCCTTTGAAATCGGGTTCTGTTAACATAGATAGATAGACAGAACGGAAAAGATAGATAGGCAGACAAGCCGAAAGTGATAGATAGATAGATAGATAGATAGATAGATAGATAGATAGATAGATAGATAGATAGATATGACATACAAACAGATAGATAGATAGATAGATAGATATGACATACAAACAGATAGATAGATAGATAGATAGATAGATAGATAGATAGATAGATAGATAGATAGATAGATAGATAATGACATACAGATAGATAGATAGATAGATAGAGATAGATAGATAGATATGACTTATACAAACATAGATAGATAGATAGATAGATAGATAGATAGATAGATAGATAGATAGATAGATATGACTTATACAAGCAGATAGATAGATAGATAGATATGACATACAAACAGATAGATAGATAGATAGATAGATAGATAGATAGATAGATAGATAGATAGATATACAAACTTATAGATAGATAGAAGCAGATAGATAGATAGATAGAATATGACATACAAACAGATAGATAGATAGAAGATAGATAGATAGATGAATAGATAGATAGATATGACATACAAGCAGATAGATAGATAGATAGATAGATGATGACATACAAGATAGATAGATAGATAGATAGATAGATATGACATACAGATAGATAGATAGATAGATAGATAGGACTTACACAGTTAGATAGATAGATAGATAGATAGATAGATAGATAGATAGATAGATAGATAGATAGATAGATAGATTTGACTTATACAAACAGATGGAGAGATAAAACCAACGAACTGCGCGTGAGATTCGAACTTAACAGAGGTAATTCTGTGTGTGTGTGTGTGTGTGTGTGTGTGTGTGTGTGTGTGTGTGTGTGTGTGTGTAGACAGACACATTGATCACAATATATCGGGCTAAAGAGCTTCACACGCTTTTTATCCACATCGGGAAACTCGCACATCTGCTTACATTCGAAATCATCTTTAACTGAAAACGCACGCACACACAGACGCACACGCACACACACACGCGCGCACACGTACACATACATATGCATAGATACTTTTACTTATTTATCTACACTCTGCTAACGTGTGATATAGACATCCTCTTTCATTTACCTGTACGTGTATCACACACATACGCACACACATACGCACACACACAGAGAAACACATTTTTTTTTATATCCTTTCTTTCCTTTCAATCATGTTTGCGTTTAAACTTCGTAAACTTTATTTGCTATTTTATACGTCCATATAATAAAAGATATATTCGTTTGCAAAAAAATGCGTTCCTTTTTCTTCTTATGTTTGCCGATACACTATTTTGCGTATGTTATTAGCACGCTACTTTTTTTTTATCTATCTATTTCCATGTGTTTACTTTTTTTTTTTTTTTTAGTTATACAGAGTAATCCGAAAATATTGTCACCCTAACCTTTTCTTCCAAAACATAGGGTCTCGTGTCAGCTATCTGAAATAGAAAATCATCTTATGTAGGATAACAAGACTTTCGGAGCACCCTGTACTTTAATTTCGAACGAATAAAAAATTTAAATTTCATTCCGAACCCAAGTTGCGTGTTTTCGAAAACAATCAATTCACGACAACAGTATATATGTCGTTAAAGGACAATCTTTCATATATACTGACAAACATACTAACGTATATATATATATATATATATATATATATATATATATATATATATATATATATATATATATATATACAGCCTATACACAAACTCCTATATAAAGGATGTCCCCACAAAATGTACTCACCTTTTGACTTCCTATAACTTCCAAGTATTTTATTTCATTTATTATTTAATTTAATCCGTTCATCTTGTTTGCAAGTCAATCAACATTGCATTTATTTAAAAGTGAGTACATTTTGGGAGAAAACCGTATGTTTGTTTTATTTTTATTTTATTTTTTTTGTTTTGCTATTTCTTTCTTTCTTTTTTTTTTTTTTTTTTTTGAACACTGTTTTTTAAACTATTTGTCGGTAAAATATATTGAATGCACCAAAAGAAATGAATAAAATTTTTGGCTAAAATCAAATTCGCTCACGTTTTACCCCGATTTAAAAAAAAAAAAAAAAAAAAAAATTGATTAATGACCTCAAAATTGTAGAGATTTATTTTTAAACCATTATTTATGAATTGCAAACACCAACAATAATTCCTAGTCAATGCCCATTGCAAAAACCGTGGCTTTAAAAAAAACATTATTAAGCTTCTTTAAAAGATTCAAAAATATCGGTTTTCAACCAACCTATGCCAGGTACCAAATAAAGTATCCCTTAAGGTAAGTAGAAATCAATTTGTCAAGCGATTAAAATACAACGTTATTTTTCAGGACACCAACTATAGAATTACAATTAAAATTTGAGAGCTGAATTTATAGTCTTTTCTTCATAAACGTTTCCGAAAAAGATGGAAGTTTCTTTTCTTCTAGTTTATCTTATTTTCACTTTTGATTTTAAAAAAAATAGTTTGTTTGCGTCGAACTTCAGAAACAATAAAATGTTTTACGAAGTATATTCACAATATGAGTAGCAGCAAAAAAAATTTTCTTTCTTTGTTTTTTTATCAAAAATCTGATAACAGTCATCATTTATGAGAAAATTGATGATATTATAATATTGGAAAACGTATCCAAATCAAATTTACCTGAAACGAAATTAGAATATATTTAATTTACTTACCTGATGATAAACGTCCTCTCGACATGGTAAATTCAAAAAAGAAAAGAAAAGAAAAAACTTGTTATAAATTGTTTACGTCGCGGTCTATAGAAAATCTTGACGCGAAATTGTTAATTTTTTTTTTTTTTTTTTTTCTAAAAGTTACAGATCCGCTTTGGTAAGTTTCTCTGTTTAGGCAGGTATATTTCCTTTTCCTCGCTCGTAATATCCTACAAAGCAATGCCTTAAGTCAACGCAGCGGTTTCTTAGAGAAAAACGAACATACTGAAAGAAGCCCTTCACTCTCCGTGTATGTGAGCACAGAAGTTTGCCTTTTTTTTATTCTCTTTCTACTTCGCTCTTACATACTCTCTCTCACACACACACAGGTCGGTGTGTGTTTTGAATTGGTTTGATTTGATTCGAGACGAAAGGAAAAGTGTGATTTTTTTTTTCAGTAAAAGATTCCACGTTGTCATTTTTTACTTTTTTTACCACAATGTTTTTCGTTTCTTTGTTTTCTTTCTTTCTTTCTTTTTTTTTTTTTTTTTTGGTACTTTAAGTTTTCCTTTATTTTATTTTCAGTATGCGATAGATAAGAATAAACTGAGATAGATAGGTAGGAATAGATATAGATAGGTCGATAGATTGAATAAACTGAGAAAGAAAGAATAAACTGAGATAGATAGATAGATAGATAGATAGATAGATAGATAGATAGATAGATGAGATAAACTGAGAAATAAACTGAAGAAAATGAATAAACTAAAGATAGATAGATAGATAGATAGATAGATAGATAGATAGATAGATAGATAGATGAATAAACTGAGATAGATAAATGAAAGAAAGAAAGAAAGAAAGAAAAAACATGAATAGATAATAGATAGATAGATAGATAGATAGATAGATAGATAGATAGATAGATAGATAGATGAATAAACTGAAAGAAAGAAAGAAAAGAAAGAAATTATCATAATTTATTTGTCAAGATAGATAGATAGTCCTTCTGAGATAGATATCACATCTTTCTTATGTCTTTCTCTTTTCTTTTTCCCGATCTTCTTCTTTTTCCTTTTTTTTCAATTTACACACACCTCAGAGTACTTTTTGAATTGATTTGATTGGATTCAAAACGAAAGGAAGCAAACCGATTATTTTAGTAAAAGTCACACACACATATTAGTTATAATTTTATTTTAAATTTGTCACATTTTTGGTACTTAAAAATCTTCAAACTTTTCAAAAAGTCACAAAAATTATCCACAACAGAAATATGAAGGAATATTTCTTTATTTATAATATTATAAAATGGATGAAGTCCGACAATGATTTCATATATTTTCTGTTTATACGTTATTTTTATAGACATTATTTATTTAAGAAAATGCTCTGTATGGAAGAAAGGTTGCTGCCCAAATATACATTATAATATTTATATTTATATTTATATATATATGTGTGTATATATATATATATATATATATATATATATATATATATATATATATATATATATGTGTGTGTGTGTGTGTGTGTGTGTGTGTGTATGTATTTGTGCGTGTGTATGTGCATCTATGTGTCACATTTCAGCATGCGTAATGTAAATCTTCCTTTTAACATTTTTAAGTCCATTTTTTTTGGGGGTTGCTTTGTGCTTAGAAAGGACACCAAGTAGTCCAAACATGCCGATTTTTTTCCTCATTGTGTTTCTATTTTGTCTCCTGACCTAATAATATATAGTTATAATTATATTACTTTTTGTTTTTCCACATTTTTATCAACTTCTCTCTCTCTCTCTCTATATATATATATATATATATATATATATATATATATATATATATATATTTATATATATTTTGCAGCGTCATTATTATTATTATTATTATTGTTCAGGCTCTATTTATCAAAAAAGATTCCCAGGAATTTTACACACACACACACACACATATATATATATATATATATATATATATATATATATATATATATATATATGTGTGTGTGTGTGTGTGTGTGATATGTTTATGACCCTGGGTTTCACGCTCTTGCGATTCTCCAACAAACTTTGTCTGATGATCGTAAAAGCGTGAAACGCAGGATCACTATCTCATATCCATACAACTAAATATGTTAGCTCTATCACTGATATTGTGCACTTTCCAATAAGTACCGCGCATATAGATAGATAGATAGATAGATAGATAGATAGATAGATGATTGATGTAGACGGAATAAAATTCCAATAACCAAAAACACTATTCTTAAAAAAGTGCTCAATACAGAGTAGAGCAAATATTATTTATTCAAAAATTATAGCATGTTTATGTTATAATTTTTTAATAAATAATCATATATATATATATATATATTTCAATAAAGGTGCAATTAATTTACAAATTCATGAATTATTCATACAAAAAACAAATACATTTAATTGGCGAGTAATCCATCGTCGCGAACAATTCAAATAATATACAAAAAACCCGAACCTGTTTATGAATGAAAAGATCCTTGTTTTTATAAATTTCTGTTGCATAAGTTCTTATTATATTTATGCTTTCGTCTGTTCCTACAGACATCCTCAGGTATGGAATAGATTTTGTTCTTGTTTTTTACTCTCAATAATAAGAGGACAACGAAAATATATGTATTGTTGCAATGAAAAATGCTATTGAAATGAGTTATTGTTTTTGGAGCAGTCGCAACGCTGAGTTTGAATTTAAATTTTACAATTGTGCGTTCTTGTAAAATATGGTGTTAAGTGAATTCTTTTTACTGGTAAATTTTCTGTCAAAGTGCATGAACTATATTGTTCAAAATTACAGTAATGTCGCACTTATTATCCAAAAAAATGCAAGGATCAGTTATTTTAAATTTCAATAAAAGTGCAATTAAGATCCTTGTTTTTATAAATTTCTATTGTTTTTATATTTATTTGAAAACATCCTCAGGTATGGAATAGATTTTTGTTCTTGATGACGAAAGCTTGTAAATATAATAAGAACCTATGCAACAGAAATTAAAAAACAAGGATCATTAAAACCTTTTGTATATTATTTTTGTTCGTGGATGAATTAAATATAACCTTTGTATTTGTTTTTTGTATAATATATATATATATATATATATATATATATATATATATATATATATATACTATGCACCTGTTGTGTTCCTTTCAAAAGTAGTCCATGATTTAAAATGTTGTAAGTAATAACATTATCAATTTTATTATTAAACACACATATTTTGATTTGTATTTGTAATACAAGTTATTGCAATAATTAATATTACTCACATTTACAATATTACTTAGATCAAACACAATAGTAAATTAATAATGTTTATATTTTTTTTTATTATACATACTTGTTTCTTCCTCAGATATATTTCAAAATACGTACGGCAGCAAACCAGCATGCATCCAATTATTTATTTGCCATCAAGTCATGTGGCACACTTTTCCAGCCATACAGATTACGTTTTACAGCGAGACGGCCACATAGCTTCATCACCTATCAAGTACTTGCCAAACATCCGAGATATTTATTTATTAAACAAGTCCCAATGTAGTGTAGTGAATTATATGAATAAATGTTGTGTCATGTATATTTAAACTTATTTAATAATATTTTTATAATGTATCATGCATGTTTATTATTTTTCACGCACACATAATAGTTGGAATATAATATGCAATATATGTTTGTGTATATTAAACGCGGATTGATATAAAGAGTGTGCATCGAAAACAAATGCTGAATTTCCTATTAAAAATGGCGTCAAAACAGAAAAAAGGCCCTAGATAAAAATGTGTACGAATGCAAGAATGTTAGTGGTCTTTAATGAAATGTGTATAAAAGAGGGATTTCAGTCCAAATACAAAATTATATATATATATATATATATATATATATATATATATATATATGGTGGTTATTTGAAAAACCTCGGAGAGCCCAACTTGCAGTAGAATAAATCGATACCCGAGGAAAAATGAGGAATAAAAAAAGAAAGGATTAAGAACATTAAAACAATGCGAAAACAATCGTCAAGTGTTTATGCTCAAAGTCCAAAGAAAAAAAACCAAAACGAGTAAAAAGACAGCAGGCACTACCCTGAATATCCGTTTAGGTGAAACCTAGTTCGGTTTACCTGGCTCCTTAGGATTATCTCATCTTCGGCTGGCTCTTTGTAGTGTTTTGAGCACTTTAAGTAGTTGTCTTTTTACTCGTTTTTTTTTTTCTTTGGACTTGGACCTTAAACTTTGGACGATGGTTTTCGCCTTGGTTTAATGTTCTTGGTTCTTTTTTTTTATTCCCCATTTTTCCTCGGGTACCGATTTGTTCTACTGCAAGTTGAGCTGTCCGAGGTTTTTCCAAACGAGTACCACCATTTATATAATTTTAGCTCTAGGTTGCCCTATTGAGCACTTTTTAAAGTCCGCCGTTATGGAACAGGTAGACATTGGCTATTCCTTTTAAGAGCAGGCAGTACCCTGAAGATCCGTTTAGGTGAAACCTAGGTAGGTTTGCTCATTTCTTTGGATTATCTTATCTTATATATATATATATATATATATATGTGTGTGTGTGTGTGTGTGTGTGTGTGTGTGTGTGTGTGTGTGTGTGTGTGTGTGTGTAAATATATAGAAAATAGGAAAGAACTCGTTAGGTAAATAATCCAAAGTTCTTTTAGTATTTTGTTATTATTTTTAAAAATAGTGCTCGATACAAAAGTAGAGCATAAATATAATTATTAATTTAAAAATATGATTCCAACGCTACATAAGAGTTCTCATGTTTCAAAACAAGAGCCGAAACTTGACGTCTATGAATGTAACTGAGATATTGATACAAATTGGTAACCCTTACGCCCCTTTTCTTTAAACAATTGCTCTAGCCGTTACCATAGTAATCTTAATTTCAATAATGAATATGCTTATAAAACGCGTAAATTTCAGGAATAAGTTATTCCAGTAAAACTTTCGCTTGAAGATGGAACAGAGCTTGGTACTTTAATTCAATAATTATATTGAAGTTTCCGGCTCTTGTTTTGAAACATGAGAACTCTTATGTAGCGTTGGAATCATATTTTTAAATTAATAATTATATATATATATATATATATATATATATATATATATATATATATATATATATATATATATATATATATATATTCTTATTCAAAGAACATCGCTACATATAGTAAGAGGCACGGAAATAGTATAACAATTGCGTATGTATGTATGCTCGAACGCATAGATGTGTATCTGCGCCTAATCTCGGAGTGTTTATATGGGTGTGTTTGTGTGAACTATAATGCGTACACCTGTATGTATGTATGTATTTATATATGTATGTTTGTATATATGAGAGTGTCATCCCAAATTGACACAGAGGAGAATTCCCCCACCCAACACCAAACAAAAACAAGCATAAAAAAGATCCAATTTAAAAAAAAAAAAAAACTAGTTTGTCTGATGATCACAAAAGTGTGAAACCCAGGGTCACAAACTCATATCCATGCAACTGAATATATATATATATATATATATATATATATATATATATATATATATATATATATATTAAAAATAAGAAAGAACAGTAAGATTTATAATCCGGTGTTTTTACCAATTATTTTTATTTAAAAAAAACAATGCACGATACAAAACAGTAGAGCATAATGTTATAATTATTATCTTTTTAAAAAATATGATTCCATCGCTACTTAGAAAAATTAATTTTAAAATTAAATTTACAACTTTAGTTTCAGTTTTGAAACATAGAAATTTCTGTGTAGTGATGGTATCATATTTTTTTTAAAAAGAAAATAATTATAATATATATATATATATATATATATATATATATATATATATATATATATATATATATGGCACGTCTGATTAAATAAATTAGACATTATGTCTGCTTATTTTTAATAAAAACCGTTCATAATCACCGATAACCTTCCGTGTATTGCAATTAAATTATGTGAGAAATGAGCTATAACTATGAAAATCGTTTTTATTTTCCATTTCCTAAGTACTTTCGATCTTCTGCAAATGGTAATACAAAACTGTGTGTTGCTATCCATTATTGTAATTTTTTCTATCTGCTTTTAAATGCAATGGTTGACAGTCATGCTTAGCGTTCATATATATATATATATGTGTGTGTGTGTGTGTGTGTGTGTGTGTGTGTGTGTGATAAGATAAAAAACAAATGGGAAACGTTTATCCATCTAACATGTTTCACTTGTTATTAAAGCTTCATCAGAGAATGAGATATGGAGAAAAAGAAGAAAGAAATTTTATAGGCGAGAAGACGTGTCTATTTGAATTTGGAACGCCACAAATTATACTAGCGTCTTTTATTAACAAGTCGAATGAAACTTAATTAACCAATGAAAATCAAAACAATACAAAAAGAAACAGAATCTATTTTATCCTTTGTTTTCTTTATATCTCATTCTCTGCTTATCACAATGCCGGTGCAGCAATATATTACCCTGGGATTATAGTTTGTTTTTTGGTTTTTTATTTTAAAAATTATATCTGGCAATTAAAATAAGCGGAATTTCTATATGGATGTAATGTAAGAAAAAAAGTTTTAAAATTATTTTTTTGATTTTTTGATTTTTTTAAATTTAAAATTATATTTGGCAATTAAAATAAGGAGGATTTCTATATGGATGTAAGAAAAATAAAATTTGAATTTAAAATTATATTTGTTAATTAAAATAAGCAGGATTTCTATATGGCTGTAAGAAAAATAAAATTTAAATTTAAAAAAATTTTAAAATTATATTTCGCAATTATAATAAGCGGAATTTCTATATGGATTTAAGAAAAATAAAATTCAAATTTTAAAAAAATTAATAATTATATTTGACAAATAAAATAAGAAGGATTTCTATATGGATGTAAGAAAAATAAAATTTAAATTTAAAAAAATGTAAAATTATATTTGCCAATTAAAATAAGCAGGATTTCTATAAGAAAAAAAAATTTAAATTTAAAAATTTTTTAAATTATATTTCGCAATTATAATAAGCGGGATTTCTATATGGATTTAAGAAAAATAGAATTCAAATTTTAAAAAAATTAAAAATTATATTTGGCAATTAAAATAAGCGGGATTTCTATATGCATGCAAGAAAAATAAAATTAAAAAAAGTTTTAAAATTATATTTTTTTATTTTTGATATAACCATTATTCACGCCTAACGTTACATCGAGAAAGATGATCACTTTAACATTGGTGCTGATAATATTCAATGCGTGGTCTTTAAAAAAATTACCAGTTCTTTTCTCAATCGGTCTATAAGTTGTCATAAAACATACACGAAGGATCTATATAACTATAGATACGTTACTAAAGTATCAAAACACCATCAAAAAATTCTAGATAATTTACAGCAATCTGTCCAAGTTAGATTATCCACCAACTCTAGCAATAAGGAAATATTTAAAGTCTAAGGAAATATTTAATAAGTCTAAAATTAAATATATAAAAGCTTTAGAACTAAGCAATCATAAAGTAAATTTAGAGTATGTACAAATAAACAAAGAAGGTAAAAGTAAGCTAAAACAACGTAAACGAAATATTATATTTTTTAATCCACCTTTTAACTGTATTGTCCAAACTAATAACGCATAAATATCCTAAATCCGTAATCATGTTAGCCATTCACCAAAATTTCCTAAATCCGTAATCATGTTAGCCATTCACCAAAATTTCCTAAATCCGTAATCATGTTAGCCATTCACCAAAACTAAAAATTATTTTTAACAAAAATAACATTATGATCAGCTATAACTGCACCATCCTGGGTATGACGATAAACTACATCCGCGTCCTGGGTAAAACGATAAACTACATCCGCGTCGTGTGCATGACTATAAACTACATCCGCGTCCTAGGTATGACGATAAACTACATCCGCGTCGTGGGTATGACGATAAACTACATCTGCGTCCTGGGCATGGCTATAAACTACATCCACGTCCTGGGTATGACGATAAACTACATCCGCGTCGTGGGTATGACGATAAACTACATCTGCGTCCTGGGCATGGCTATAAACTACATCCACGTCCTGGGTATGATGATAAACTACATCCGCGTCATGTGCATGACTATAAACTACATCCACGTCCTGGGTATGACGATAAACTATATCCGCGTCCAGGGTATGACGATAAACTACATCCGCGTCGTGGGTATGACGATAACCTACATTCGCGTCGTGGGCATGACTATAACCTACATCCGCGTCCTGGGTATGATGATAAACTACATCCGCGTCGTGTGCATGACTATAAACTACATCCACGTCCTGGGTATGACGATAAACTACATCCGCGTCGTGGGTATGACGATAAACTACGTCCGACAGCAAGGCCTCTGATCAGAAGGTTTTGAGCAGCGTGAAAACCACCTCTTAATTGCTGGTGTTCCCAGGTTCACCCTGACCCGGGGTGGTAGCACCTGTTAGGGTCCCAGCTATGGGTAAATAGTTAACCCCGAAACTGACGTAAAAAGCATTATAAAAGTGTAAAAATGGGTTTTAATACCAGAGATATTTTGTAAAGGAATTGTTACCAGAAATAAATTTTTGAAGGAAAAAATCTATTACCAGCAATATATTTCGGAAAAAAAATATTACCAGTAATACATGTTTTAAAATAATATTTCAAGCTATACATTTTTGAGGAAAAAAATATTAACAGAAATAGATTTTGACAAAACAAAATTATCCCTGAAAAAAAAGTTGTCGGCATTAAATAACCCATTGAAGTTGATATGCCGTAAAACGCAACAAACCAAACCAACCAAACCTATAACTGCATTAATAATGTAAACACACCCATCTCCCATTACAACATTATATTAAACAAATATATTTTCAACAAAGATAACGTAAATTCTTCTCAAAAATAAATGCCGAAAAATATGATCTGTCCCTTAAACTGTCAATACATGACCGATTATATTGTATACCAAGCGAGCATACGTTCCAGTAGCGGTTAAATTTTATTTTGGTTCCACTGAAAATCCTTGAAAATTTCGTTTTTACCATCATCGAATGACTTTAGATAATATAAAATACAGAAACAGCACAGCTTTCTTTAGATATTTCTGGCAGTTAAAAAATAATGGTAGTTCTCTTTCTATTAACTGGGTTATTATAGCAAGAGCTAAAGGAAATAAATGTAACTTATGTCTTGTGGAAAAACTGGTTAAAACACTTAAATAATCCGAGCTTATTAAACAACAGAAATGAATTGATGAATATAAAAATAAATATCTGCTTCAATACGTTGATTCAGATTAATTTTTAAGTTCTAATATAAATAACTGTATTTTTAATGTAAATTATTATTTATTATAAATATAAATTTATCTTTTTTTTTAAATAAGAATAATTTAATTGAAAATTTTTAGAAAATAAAAAATGAATATCCACAAATCAAAAATCAAAAATAAAATTTTAAAAAATTTCTTTAATTTTATTTTTATTTTTCTTACATGCGTATATAATTCCCGCTTATTTAACTTGCCAAATATAATTTATAAAATTAAAAAGCTGTAATCCCAGCATAATGTATGGCTGCGCCGGCGATATGATAACTAAATATATTAAAATTCAAATTAAATAACCTGAAGATTGCGTTGTGTATGAAACTAATGCTGGCGGTGAAGGATAATATATATATATATATATATATATATATATATATATATATATATATATATATATTTATATATGTGCAGTACTTAGTGAAACCCTCAATATCAGTGAAAGAGCTAACAGATGTATATATATATATATATATATATATATATATATATAAATTTAATGGATAAGAATCTGTGACCCTGTTTCACGTTTTTGTGATCATCAGACAAACTGGTTTATTTTTAAAAATTGGATCTATTTATGCTCATTTGACTATGTTTGTTATATATATATATATAGATAGATAGATAGATAGATAGATAGATAGATAGATAGAGAGAGAGAGAGAGAGAGCCGCTCTTCATTAATGAATTGAGTATGAATGAGTAAAAGAAAAACAGAAAGAAAAAACGGAAAGAAGTAGAGGAAAAAAAGAAAAATATTAAAATAGCACATTTTCTAAACAAATATAATATATATATATATATATATATATATATATATATATATATATATATATATATATATTTATTTATTTAAAATTATAACATAAATATGTTATAAAATCACTAAAAAATAACTATTTTGTTTCAACACCTCTCGTGTCTTATCAAGTGATGATGTTATAATGTTGATTGTAGAATATATATATATATATATATATATATATATATATATATATATATATATATTTCCCGCTTTTTTTCTCTTTGTTTTTTTTTTTTACTTCATCTCTATTTTCTTTATTTCGTTTCACCTTTTACTTTTCCCGATATTCTTTGTTTTAATCCCAATTATTCTTTTCTTTAATTCTTTCTTTGTTACATTATTTCTTTATTGTTTTTCTTTCTTTCTTCTTTCCTTCCTTATTTTTGTTTCTCTTTTATTGTTTCTTTCCTTTCTTCATTTTTCTTCAACCATTACATTTGAAGGCAATTTTATTTTCTTCTCATTAATTAATTTTTATTTTTTTTATTCAATTCACCCGCGTGTTTGTTTTTCTATAAAATGTATAATTTTTAAACAAATTTTTTTTATAAAAATGTATATAAAAATTTTCTATAAAATGTGTAACTTTAAAAACAAAAATTATTAATTATCATTTCTTTTCTTTTCTTTCTTTCTTTCTTTCTTTCTTTTTCTTTTTTATTTCATTATTCATTTAATAAGTTATTTATTTGTAAAAGAAAATACAAATCTGTATGAGTAACAAATTCACTGTTTTCCCCATTTAAAATTCTTACGGATATAAATAATTAAAATATCTTTTTCTTAATAATATTCACACTCTCTCTCTCTCTCTCTCTCTCTCTCTCTCTCTGTGTGTGTGTGTGTGTGTGTGTGTGTTTCTCTTTATATCCATCACTCTATCAATGTCTATATATTTTTATTTCTCTCTCTCCCTCTCTTTGTTTCTCTTTATAACACGCTCTCCATTTTTCTCTCTATATATTTATTTCTGTTTCTCTTTATAACCTTCTCTCTATCTTTCTCCCTATGTATTTAATCATTTCTCTCTCTGTTTCGTTTTATATTTCTCTCTCTATCTTTTTCTATAAATATGTTTATTTCTCTCTCTCTCTCTCTCTCTCTATCTATCTATCTATCTATCTCTATCTCTCTCTGTTTCTCTCTATATCCTTCTCTCTGTTTCTCTCTGTATATTTATTTCTTTCTTTTTATATCTCTCTGTCTCTCTCTTTATCTTTCTTTATTTGTTTCTGTTTCTCTTTATATCCCTCTCTCTATCTTTCTCTCTATATATTTATTTCTCTCTCTCTCTTTCTTTGTTTCTCATATTTCTCTGTCTATATTTATTTCTCTCACTCTCTCTTAGTTTCTCTTTACATCTCCCTCTCTATCTTTCTCTCTATATATTTATTTTTCTCACTTTCCTTATATATGTTTTTCTCACACGCCTTCTGCTTTTATCTCTATTTCTTATCAATTCCTTTATCTAAGTTTTTCTCACTTTATTTCTTATTTTCCTCCATCTTTATCCTTTTTTCCTCTACGTTCTTTTTTCTCTTTTTATCCTTCTCTCCCATATTTCCTATCTTTATTTCTTATTTCTTTTTGCTTTATTTTTTTTTTAATTTGTTTTTCATACTGTCTCTTTTCTTTTGTCTTCTTTTCTGTTCTTTAATCTGGTGTCTCGTACCCATCTTTTCGCTTTTTGATATTTTTTTTAATTTATTCATTTATTATTTCTACTGTCTTTTTCTTTCCCTCCTTTTCGAGATGTCTTGAAAAAGTTTTTTCATATTCGTTTATTATTTATAATATACCTCTTAAATATATCGGCTGTTTCGTTCTCTCCTTTTCGAAATGTTTTGAAAATGTTTTATTTATTTATATTTACACTTAAGTGTATTATCTTTTCCGCCAATTTCAAGGTCACATTTTTAAACTAGCGTTAGAATTCTTTGTTGTTTTTTTTATGCTACTAAAGGAAGGTATATCATGTCTTATCTGTCTGTCTGTTTTTTTTTTTTCCTTTTCATTATTATGTTTTCCTTTTCTGCCTAATCCCTTCCGAAAATGGTCTGGCGTTTGTCAGATTACATATCCATTCTTTGTGCGTCTCGCAGCGCCAGCAACACACCACGATGAGATCCCGGACATGTCTCTCAATCTCAACTTCCTCTTATAGAACCAAACTTCAAATCTGGGAATGGCATTGGCAACGAATAAGAGGTGTGAAGTGACGAGAAAAGGAGTTGAAAAAAAAACAAAAAACACACACAAACACACACTTATAAAGTAAGCGTTTAAACATACTCGCTTCTTTTAGTTGACTCTTCATTGAAAGATTAAAAATAATACTTACGACTGTTCACCGAATAGCAATTAGGCGAAGATGCAGGCGACTGAAAAAAAGAAGAAAAAATGAAGAAAATACGCATGCGTATCAACACTTTTGCACAAGGAATGTCCGCTATGTTAAAATGTCAAGCGACCTGGTCCGTCAAGCGACCTGGTCCGGCAAGCGACCCGGTCCGTCAAGCGACCTGGTCCGTCAATTGACCTGGTCCGGCAAGCGGCGACCTTCGTTCGTCACGGACGGATCCACACGTGTAGCCTTGTGCCAGAACAAAGCTAAATAACAAAAACCACACCTCGTAACGTAATAATTATCAAACTAGCCTCAAAGATCATTAATACTTAATAACGAGTTTGATTCTCTCTGGGCCCCCAATATGCATGGCCTTGTGCCAGAACGACGCTAACTTTTGTAAATAACAAAAAACTAGGCCACCTCATAATGTAATAATTAGCAAGCTGGCTTAAAAAATCATTAATACTTAGTAATGAGTTTGATCCGCACTGGACGCCCAATATCAGTGGCCTTGTGCCAAAACTGAACTAAGCTTAGTAAATAAGAAAAACCACGCCTCGTTGTTGTGTAATTATTAGCGAACTGATATCAAACAACATTAATACATTAATGATTTCGATTCCCACTCGGAGCCCAATATGTGTGGCCTTGTGCCAAAATTAAACGAAGGATAATAATTAAAAAACATAAAATTTAAAGAAATAAAAACCAACCTCGTCGTAGTGTAACTAGGTTATCGTCCCTCGGGATTCCTAGTGGATGAAAAGCGTCGAATTTGATGTCATTGTAATTTTGAGTTCAATCCCTGAGCCGAGTAATACGGACTTAGACTCACTGAAAACAGAGCGAGCAATAACTGCTCCGTACTAAAAAAAAAAAAAAAAAAAACAAAGAACAGGAAGATATGTCTGGAGACAAGGTAAACATTACAAGAATAATCTATCCCCGTAGATTAAATAAAGTGTTCAGTTCAATATTCATTGACGGTTATTCGAATCGATAGACACCTAAAGAAGACCTTAGATCACAGCGGTCGAAACAATGTAATAACAACAACAAAGATGAGGACATTGGTACGACTGTAAATAATGTAAATAATAACCTCATTCAAGAACTTCAGACTGAAAAATTTGTGTTTAGGGACCAGTAAGAAAGACACGGAAGACAAAGGCAAGTTGAACAAGTGTATTGAAATAACAGATATATACAAAGCAATAATGTTAGTAATAAGCAAACAGAGGTGTACATCCGAACGGTAGGTTAATACTGCGTCTACGCTATATTTAACAGACCCCCCCCCCCCATTGATGGATGTATGTAGCACAAGGCCGAGTTTACCGTGGGTTCTCTGAGCTCGTACGCTCGGCCAAAAATATTCCCTTAGAACCCGTATAAACGGGTTCAGAAATCTGTCTACCTCCCCGGATGAAACTCAGCCCTTCGGCATAGCTTCGTCTGGGTTCCTCTCTGCCAAAGCAGAGAGTTCGACAGAAGTCGCAGACAGTCAGAGACTGCGTCTAGGCTCCCGCTTCCGACTCTTGCAGTTTGTATTTATGAGAGGAGGAAGTGTTCATTCTACTGTAGGAGGATTTACCATAACATATTCCACGCTGTCTGCTTTGGCGATTGAAATTTAATTGCGTTATAAAAAAAAAAAGCGAAGAAAATTACTTGAAAGATCACATTTGCATGTCATCAACCTCGGTCGGGTGCTGCTGTAATTTTGTGGAACTTTCTGGTCTCCGATCAGACCCCGAACTACCGCCAGACACGATATACGCATGTCCCACTCGAGGAAGCACCATGCAGTGAGAGAATATTGGGCCTCAAACTCACACCCGACCTCAAGTGGAATTATATCATCGCTAAAGATGCAGGTAAAATTATCAGCTCCCTGAACCGCTCCAGTAAATACCTGACTTCTCATAATATCCTTTACCTTTTTAAGAGACAGATTAGGCTGAAAATGGAGTATTATTGCCGTATTTGGGTGGGTGCTGCTCAGTCCTCACTTTATCCTCCCGATAGTTCAAAAGCGTCTCCGAGACCTTGTTGGAGAATAAATTATTTTCCATCTTCCAATCTCTCTCTCACAGGCGGGATGTGGCGAGTCTCTCACTGCCCTATCACTACTACCATGGAAAGTGCTTGGACGAACTATATTCCTTGGTTCCGCAAGGTCTAACCTTCACGGATAGGATCCACTGTGCCACTTACATTGTAGCAAAGCACCCATATTCCCTCTTTATTCCATCGGCGAGAAGTTCCACTCAAACAGCTTCTTCCCACGAACTATGGAACCGACTCCCAAAAGGATGTTTCCCCGATCACTGCAATCTTAACCTGTTCAAGTCTAGAGTAAACCGTTATCTTCCCCTCGTATCTATATATATATAATAAACCCTTATTGCTCTTAACTCTTATTGTAATGCTCTCCCCCGAGTGCCCACCGGGCCTTGTACAAAAAAATATCCAATCAATATATTAAAAATGGTGTTTACTGTACTACCTTTCTGTTTAGCGGTA